ACCACAAACATGTGGGAAATCACGGTGTCTTTACTGGCGATGATGGAGGTGCCCCGAGACCAGCGTGACTTCGTGGGGCGCTGGAGCGCCGCCTCCTCCTCAGACGAGTACTTGCGAACAGCGCGGCAGCTGGTGATGCGTTTACAAGAACGGGCTGCCGTGGCATTAGAACAGCCGGCAGCGCATGATCTCCGTTTTGCTGGGATCGAGGAACTACTAGCGTTCTTGCGCAAGCAGGGTTTAGACATTGCTGAACAGACAGACTTCAAAAGCTGTTGCAACTGGATCTCTCTCGGCTGGTTGCCGTGCAAGAGTGCGATGGGCTTGAGCCTGCTGCGCCTGAGCCTTGTCCGCTCCCGGAGCCGCCGGACGATGCGACAGTGGCGTCGGATCAAGGATCTGACCCTTGCCCGTGCTTCATTGCCGTGGTTGGTGGACGTAAGCTTCGCCGTCTTCACCGTCAAGGAGGCTGTGGGACTGTGCCGGCTGACCTCCGGGAGATGATTCCTCTACAATCATTGGAAGACGCAGTGTATGATTTTGCTTGCAAACACTGTTGGCGAAAGGGCTCCCAGCCTGGCGACTCATCTTCCGCATCAGGGAGTAGCTGCGACACATCATCTTCCGGCAGTGAGAACAGTGAGGGTAACCAATCCTCGTACTTTGTTGGCAGGATGTGCCTGCGCTAGTCACGTAGTGTCTACATTTCCAAGGCGTGTTACAAGTGTGTAGCTTTGTGACTGGGGCCTTGAGCCGGTGGGAGCACTGGTGAGCGAACAACGACTGTGCTTTGGTTGTTGTGTATGTGTCTTGCGTCGCGAGCGACATCTGCGATGCTGTCTGACTGCGCAGGATCTCTGTTGCGGTCATGGTTGTATCATGCTTAGGTGGTGCGTGTGTCCACCTCTGCGTGCTGCTCCGCCGCTCCGCCGGATGTGCGGTTCAAGCAATTATGTGTGTGTCATTCTTGTTTACTTCTGCGTGTGTGATCGCTTAGGTCAGCCAGAGCCATGTCCGACTGCACCGACGAGGAGATTCTTTCGAAGGTCGAATCTTCCCTAAAATTTCAGATGGACCATGCAAGTGTGCGGTGTACCGCAAGGGCTTTGACAACCTCATTGTCTTCAGTGGAATCGATGAGTCCCGGGCAGCAGTCCGCGAAGCCCTCAGACAAGAATTACCCTTGGACTACGCCAAGGACGCGGAGTCACGCCGGGCCATGGCCCTGCGGTGTTCAGCCGCGCCTCGTGCAGGTCACCGAGCATGCGACGATGAAAGCAGCTGTGGAGGTGTTCAATGGCCGCTTGACTGACAAGGAGCTTCCAAGCAAATCACTGGTGGCGCAGAAGCTCGAACAGGTCGAAGACAATGCGCCGTATGCTGAGGACATGCGGGACGTCACCAGTGTAGAAGATGCCGAAAGTGAGGCGTACAATGCCGTTATCGATCCAAGCGCCGCTGTCCTCCGCATCAAGCCTGGCAGGGCCGCAGCCACTCCCCCGGGGACCCCGGAGGAATTGCGGCTGCGCCACAGGCGAATCGGGCGTGCGTGGGAGATGGTGCGCGCCAAGCCACAAAAAATAACTTCGAATTGAATTCAAACTGAATTCGATCTCGAACTGAATTCGAACTGAACTCGAACTGAACTTGAACTCGAACTACCCCTTTCCCCCAGTAGAAGTAGAATATCGAATTGAACTCGAACTCGAACTGAACTCAAACTCCCCTCCCCCGAGCGAAAATTCAGTTTTGAACTGAACTCGAACTGAGCTCGACCGCCTCAACTGGCTGAAGCCGTAAAACTGCAGCGAGGACGAAGCAACATGTCGTTTTGCAGTAGTGCCAGCGCATAGGCGCCCTGATCCGACCGAATCCGTGTTAGTTACTGTTAGTTATTATCACAAACTTCATACGCGTGCGACTTCCCCAGATGCTGCGCAAACTACCATTTCGCTAGTTCAGCCCTCTTCTCACAACACA